ACATCATATAGTATCTTCAATGATCTTTATGATGGTCGATAAACAATGATAAAACATGTTTCTTCCATAAAGATCAACCATATTTATGCGGTTTTTAGGTCGTTTCGCGTATAAAAAACGGTCCCGCAAATATCTGTGGGATGGAACTCTGGTTGATCCTCTGGTGGAAACATATTCTGTGGGAGGTCCTTGAAAATACGCATTCAAAGAATTTCAAAGATAGATTATTAATGATTATTATATTATATGGGTATATTGAATCTAACATAAAATAGATCAAACACCTTTCAGGATCTTTCAATGATCTTATTTTTCATGATGTGTTGTTTCCTCAAAAAACTCCAAGTTTCCACTTGCTTTCAATATGTTTTGGGTTTGACCCTCTGGGAATCAAACATTCCAAAAATGATACGCTGTGTAAGTCAACACTTTGCCATGGAGTTTAACCATTTTTAAGAACGGTGAAGCGGCACAATTCATGGGCCATCTATTCCAGTTTGCAAATTACTGCCAGTATTATGATTAGCATCGCGGCATGGACTGTTCTGGGAAAGGGACTGTTAAGCCAAACACATGCATATATATGTATATACACGTAATTTGATCCGTATAATATATATATATATGGATATGTATATATATATACATAATCATATGCATGTATATACATATGTACATATATCTGGCCGAATTCCCATAATGTTTACTAACCCGAAACTCGATATGAGAATATACATTCAATCATTCATGACCCACCAATAAACATCCCCAAAATATCCCAAAAACACCGTTCAACCATGGGTGGAATGCGTACCATCCCCAATGGTTTCTCATATTGTATCCCCATTTTATTGGTGTTTCTTAAAGTGGGGGATCCGCAAGTCATCATAGGTTTCAATACTAAAATTATTTCATGTTGGTTTCAATACTATTGTATAATCTCTTTTTTACAAAATACAAAAGTGGCACACATACATACATAACATAACATAACGTAACATAACATAACGTAGCGTATCATTACATAACATTACATAACATTACATAACATAACATAACATAATATTACATAACATAACGTAGCATTACATTATATACCACACATATGTAACGTTGCAATCCCCAACTTGGTGGAGCTCAGCAGCCTTTCACCAGGACCACGCGGCCGAGGGCAACGGACCTGCCCGCTTTTTGGGGATTGCCAAAAAGCCATGTTTGGCCCGAAAAAACTGAAAACTAATGAAACAAAACACCAAAACAACACATATGTTAAATCCATAATATCTAAACCACAAGGAATGCTAGTGAGGCAAAATCCAAATCCAAGCAAAACCATGGGTTTGCCACTATAAAGCACAAAACTGGTCGAGTTGTATCGGCATGAGGCTACGACCGAAGCATGATCAGAATCTGCCAGATTGATCCAGATTGGGCCACAGGAAACTCGGAATATTATTGTATATAAACAAACCAATTGGCAACGTTGTTTAGACACATACTGCATGTTTAAACGTTTTTAAACGTATATTCTCGGAGATATAGCTGACCAACGGGCAGCAAAGGGGATCGGAGCTTCTCAATGATACATGATGGGTGTCCTGCAGCTGCAACTTTCCAAAAGAACTTAAGGTCTACCACAACCTTCCAAAAGAGTCTACAATGGTGCCCCCCGTTATGTTTGTTGCTTTATGACCCCCCTGAACTAGTTCGATATTATATATATATATACAGTAAACCCAACAGGTTTTGATAGCCGTTGACAATTTCTGAGAGATATAGATATTGGAGATATAATGGAGATATAAATATATATAAATAACATGTTACAAATAACTATACTTCAATATAATATACCTACCATAAACCTGACCACCCCTACGATTTCATCGATTTTCGCGCTTCCGAACTGTCCAAACTCACAACAGGAGGCCTCTGCAAGGATTGGAGGCTGCCGAAGTCGCTAGGCACCTGCCATGCCTCGGGGGATCTGATTGTAATCCAAAGACCTCCAAAATAGGCAGGAGTTCATAGGAGGACTGTCCAAAGCTTTTCATGATGATCCTGAGGGTCAAACTATTGGTTTCAGGATGTTTGAGGGATGCTTCAAGTTATAGAACCAGAAATTTATATGGAGGTTTCCTGAAATAGGGTAACACCTAAATCCCTTATGCTATTGGGGTACCCCTATTTTAGGAAACCTCCATATAGCATACAACTAGCTGGTGACACAAGGATTCTTGATGTGTCATCAGCCTGGCAGGACATTTAACATAAATCGATGGGCTCCACAAGCAACAGTTCCTTGGGATAAGAACCGAACGTATTTGGCAGAGTTCCGAATTTGAACAGCAATCCTTTTGACACTGGTATGCAGGAAATGTAGTAGGCTTATGGCATGTAGTCTCAGACTGTCAACTGATCGGAACCCCGAAGGAACACCTTTTTTTAGGAATCGATCTGTATCCAAATACATAATGTTTCGGTTTAAATATGCGTTTTATTTGTGTGAATATGGATATACTATGAGATACTGATGCTGCTAATGGTACATCACGGTACCAGAAACTCTTCCCCATCTCTGCCTCGGGCGGCACGACTTCCTCCGAAATAACTGGCGCCTCAGCTGCGATCAAATCCAAGTAGCAAAGCCAGACTTGGAGGTTTCCTAAAATGGAAGTCCCTAAAATGGCTAGTTTATAGTGGAAAATCCGAAAACAATTATGGATGATTTAGGGGTACCCCCTTATAATAGGTTTAATAGGACACCTCCATTTCCTATAAGGCTTTCCAAGCGCATGTGTATCTCGAGTAGATCTCCCCGGCCACTTTTTTTGTTGTTTCATCCAACAGCCGATGCCCGTAACGGTAAACAATCATGATCAATCCCAAAGCTGGCATTCAAAATCTCTAATATCCATTAATTGTAGGTATTATATGTAAGTATACCCTAAACCCTCCTATTTCCACGTTTCTTTTGGCAGTTCCTTGGATCCAAATATAGTCTTCCCATGATTTCTCCATGACTGTTCCCTAGATTTGCCTAGATGTTCCATAAGTGTTCCATAGATTTTCCCAAATGTCCCATAGATTTTCCAGAAAATTCCGTACAGGTTCCATAGATTTTCCCAATTTTTCCATAGATTTTCCATAGATTTTCCCAAATGTCCCATAGATTTTCCAGAAAATTCCGTACAGGTTCCATAGATTTTCCCAATTTTTCCATAGATTTTCCATAGATTTTCCCAATTTCCTATGGATTTTCCAGAGATTTTCCCAAGGAGGTCCATCACCTCCCTGGCACCTGACAGGCTTCCACCAGCGCTTCGGCTTGGCCAAGGGCCTCCATCGCCTCCTTCTGGCTCCAGTCCTGGTGAAACCAGCTGGAACAGCCAGTTCAACAACCAGTTATATATATGGGTATGGATCAATACCTATTAATACCATTTTTAGGGGGATGAACATCCATTTACCAGCTATTTTGATGTTCACCAGGGGTACAAGGTTTTGACACACTGCCATATGGGAATATAATGGATTATATAAGTATCTATATATATATATGTATATGGGATTATATGGGATACCCCCAGTTCTATACCCTTGAGGAATTTAACATAGACCCTGGCAGGGGTTGGATGATGAGTTTCTACTCAAAATTGGTGATTTTCAGAGTCTATGTTAATTTACCAGGGAGTATATCTGGGTAATCTCAACTGATTTCGGATTTGTTTAAGTTATATAATATCTCAACTGAGGTAATTTTCAAGTTATATAATAATCCCAGTCCCACTTAGTGTGATTGTTTTGTGATTTACCACAGATTCAATATGTCACCAACGTGAAATCACGGTGAAGAGATCTCCAATATTAAATACATGATATGTGATATCCCATTGTTATTATCAATAAGTATCAGGGACCAATAGATCAGTTGGGTATTCTAGTATGTATATATATATATATATTCAATGGACTGATGGATTTATGCATAGCTATACCCAACAACTATGTATGGTTCATATGGATTTTGTATGATTTATTGGGATTGATATGGATTTGTGCTAGCTAAGCTGGTTAAAAAAAAACTCCAGATAATGGCAATATATTCGAAACATGGGAGGTTTTCCAATACATGGTGGAACGATCTCCCTATATTTATATATATATACATGGACGCTGATAGCCGTTGATAGTTGCGAAAAAAAAAACTATGAATGGCGGGTTTGATTACATAATAAAAATCACAAGGGGATATATATATATATATATGATTGTTGTATCATTATTATTCTTGTTATTCTTACTACCTAGCAATCATCATTATTGTTTTTATTAGTCGTTATATATCTGTATATATATATATATGTATATATACACCCAAAAACTATGTACGGTATATAATATACAATATGCATGGATAAAATATACTACATCATTCATCTGGACTAAGGCATTTTGACGATGATGTCCCCTACTAACCATCATTCCAGTGACGTCACAGTGACTTCACTATAGCGTGTCCAAAAAAATATCCCGTACAAAGTTGTTGGGTATATACAATGAAAGCAATGGTTAGTATCGTTTGGCATGATATTATATGATAATTATCGATTATGATATGGGTATGATATGGGTGTAATTATTGTGTCAAATATTAAATGTGATGTGTATATATATATATATACATACACATACAAATACTCACTTATTAAATGAGATATACAACATAATATGTAAATACAAATAAATACAACACATATATCATACGACATCTAGAATATCTAAAATGATGACACATGACTTTATGTTATCTGGATATAGACACGATATACTTGTATACAGTAATAGTTATAGTTTATCTTAATGCTATTTTGATATAGTTTGGGAACGATCCGATTCTACATGTGTTGTATGGACTACTGTTGGTGGATCAGTTCAACAGTCACAGCATATGGTTTGGCCGTTCATCATATGTTGTGTGGTTGGTAAATATGGTGTATAATTGCAGATGTAATCGATTTATCTATCGATCCATTTATCTATGTTGGTAATACAACCATATACAAATACCATGTGTATATATATATATATACATGTATATGAGTATATACATACTGTTTACTTATCCATTGTATCCATGCCTCAAGGGTGCAAATCATTGGCAAACAATGGGGAAACAATGGGATGGCATATGATGGGTTCCCAGAAAGTGTACTTGGAATATGTACAACATATTTATATGTGTATATATATATATGTGTCATGTTAATATTGATGTGTCATGTTAATATAAATGTATATGTATTATATATATATATATATTGCCAATTTTAGGATCCCACAGATACATGAATGCCCCCCACAGTTTTGTTTGTTAGATATCATGTCACCTCATGGAACTAGCGAAAAAAAAACATCCACCAATTTATCCAATCGCTGGCATGGTTTAAAAAGCAGCTTACCTATCTATAGGAATTATCAAAATATGTGAAATATAGGATTTATAAATATTGAAGATAGACAATGGGGGGGCCTTCCTTTTTTTTTGTACACACGGAAGATTGCCATGGCGTGATTTTTTGACCCACCTGCGCCTTCTCAATAGCTTGATGGTCTTACATACTCCCCTTGGTATCAACCCCCAATGGCCCAATGATAGCAACAGATTCAAGTATACTATGACTGAACTACATTCACATAGGATCCATGTATACCATATATGGTAACATTTACCATTAATATACCCCACATGTTAGCATATATACATATATATACCATACATGGATCCTATGGGATTGGGAAAGAGAAATCCACTGCGTTTCTTGCTAGACTTTAGCACCGAGCTTCATCGACCACAGCCGATAAGACTTGTCAGGCCCTCTCTTCGAATTATGATGGGCGCTTCTTCCAGCAGAATCCCCCTGTTGCCACACCAATCCTATATCCTATGATTTTAGTTTGTTTTGAGAGAGTTTTGATATCAGAAAAGCATAGGTTACAACTACCACCTGGAAGCCGAAGTGCTCGCCTGCACAGGAGGCAGCAGCAACTCTGCCGGGAGGATCTCCTGGACGGGGACGGTTCTACCGACATTTTTTCTGGGACCTACTGGAAGTTGGAGATCATTTTCCCAAAATATCTGTGCTTAAAAACATTCCGAACATATGTCTGGCCTTGTGGCTAGCCTCCCGGAACTGGATGAGACATTTTAGAGCAAACCTCGATCAATTCGGGGTTGTAAGCTCAGGATTTCCTCTTTTTGTCATGATCAAAATCCATTGATTGCCTCAACAATATTCACAGCAACTTCTTCCTGCCGGCACTGGAATGGTAGGAGAGAAAGCACACATAAAGTACTTCATGGCTGTCAGCGTTTGGGCCGGATGAGCTTCATCATGGGAACAAGAAACTCAGAGGCAAACAGGGAACGGTGTTATACCTTGTTTCGGCAACAAATAAAGCATATCATTGAAGAGCAGAAACAAATTTTTGGAAAACTTTTTGGACGGGTTTCCCCGGGGTTTGGAGGATATTTGATGAATCGCGGCCGTTGCTGCTTTTTCTTTGCATATTATATTGATTCACCGCCATGATAGTGTTTCCATTTTCAACCCAGAGAAGCCAAAACCATCAACAAAATCAGTTGATTTTTGATTGAAAACCATTTCGGGTCAACCGTTCTTTTGTATTGCCATACTCAAATGTGTGCGTCCTAAAATAGGGTAGCCCCCTAAATCATCCACAAACCATGGGTTTATAGGCCCCATTCAATGGGAAATACCCTGGTTCTGAGAATTGATGGAGAAAACGGAGAACATCGCCTGGTGCCTTGGATAGAAGACAAATCAGAAGACAAGCCTCACTTGGTCCATGCTCAGCCCCAACCTCAAATCTAGATTTATGAGATAAAACTTAGGCCAAAAACCAAATTCCAGGAATCATGTCTTTTACGTTTGTTTTGTTGTGTGCTTTTTTTAATGATCTAACTTCATGTTTTAATGATTTTTTGATGGTTACATTTTTGCGTTATGATTTCACTACATTTTGAATATGTTTTTTTTGTTTAATGTTGTTGTTTTTTTGATGTGTTCATTTCATGTTTGTTGGTCATGTTTTGCATTTGTTTTGATTTTATTGTATATAATTGTTAAGAAATATATATAATATATATATATATGAATTCTATATTTTAAAAAAAATGAACAAATATGAAAAAATAGGGAAAATACAACAGCATTACAAACAAAAAAATCAAAAAAATAAAACATCACAAAAATATAGTTGTTGTTTAAATGTTGTTTGTTTGTTTTGTATTTATTTTATATTTTGTGTAAATCTTGAGAAAATTGTTTTTTTAATATATTTGATATTGTTTGATTTGTTTCTATTCACTTTCTTTTGTTTTCCTCAGTTTTTTCAACAATTCTATGTAAATTGTATTTCACTTTAGAAAACACATATAATTAATGTCGTGTCACTCCACTGGAAAATGTTAAATTATATCGGATATGGTAAGTCACTTCTGATGATGTGCGTTCTCAATGCATGTGTGAAGCTACATTTCAATGAGCATTTTAAGAGATATCGCAACAAGTGTTACTGATTGGTTAACGTGTGGGACCATATTTCATTCATCGTCAGTAAAGTGAAGATATCCATGTATGAGTTATAGGTTTTTTCTGCACTTGGATGTGCATCCCAGCTAGTGACGCAGCTAGCCGCCGCAAGCAGCTAGTGGCTAGTGACAGTGACCAGTGAAAAATGAGTCAGCAACTGACTGGTCTCAAATTTCACCATTGAATCGAGATATTCCTTGGCTTTTAGCAGAATGGAGCGACTTGGCATCGTCTAAGTCTTACTGGGATGGAAATGACATGAAAACTTAGACCTGGACCTAGACCCAAACTTTACCAATGGGTATGCAAACTCTTACATGTGGAAAAAAATGCAGAATTGTTCCTGCACAAATTTGGTTTACAAATTTACCAAATGATATAATTTCTGTTTTGTATTTTCCAGCTCCAGGAAGTTTGGGCTTATGATTGGGGTCCTCTTCGCAAAATACCTTTTCGCAAAAATACGCCCGCACCCAAGGTGCCGAGGTGTTTCTTTGCGCGCACGCGTTGTGGGCAATAGCCAAAAAGGTTTAGCTGTTAGCTTCGGGGGGAGGGACGCATTTTGGCTCTAGAATCGTGTGTGTTTTTCCACGTTTTTGAAGATGGTTTAAAATCGACTAAGTTTCCAAATTTGGGCTCAACATGGCCCAACATGGCCCCAACATAGGGCAACATAGGCCCAACATGGCCCAACATGCCCCAATATAGGCCCAATATAAGCTCAGCATGGGCCCAACATGGCTCAACATGGGCCCAACACGTCCCAATATACATGACAACATGGGCCCAACACTCCCCAACATACAGCCAACATGGGGTCCAACATACCCCAACATGCGCTCTACAATGCCCTACAAAGGCCCAACATAGAACATTGACATATGGAACGGTGGCATATCGTATGCGGTTTTACTTGTTGGAATTCCGAAACGAAAAATCAGTTAACAATCATAAAAAAAACAATGAAATGAAACTATTAAAAACAAACATTAAAAACACATAAGCAAAATCTGGCCCTTAAAAACATCATTAAAGAAATGAAACCATCATGAAATCATAAAAGAACTTATTTATGTTAACCCCTGTTTTAGCCATATCCAAACTCATAAATCTAGATCTTAGTTTCTATCAATTTCAGACATGTATCAACGATCTGTTATAATATGATACACATTTATAATATAATATAATTAACCCAAATGGATCAAGAGACAATTTTCTCTCATGTCAGTTTTTTTTGTGTTCGTCACTGCCAGTCACTATACTCCCCCATTCCCGGAACATATTCCGCGCTTTCCCAGGATTCTGCGCAGAATCTGCGCCTGCGGAGGCCCCATGTCGGCTTGCAGCACGTCAGGAATCGCCTGGCGATTGTGGTTGGTAAACCTCAACGACCTCAACAAGGGCCAGTGGCCACGTCACTTGGATTGCTTCCACTAGCTTGAGCTGGACGTCCCAATTTTCCCACGATGGGACAACTTTTCTTTTTCGACGTGTAGTTCGTATTGATAAGTTTTATATATGTGAGTCTACATGGCTAGCCCCAAGATATAACATTACATATCATTATATATATATCATTATATATATATATCATTATATATATATCATTATATAGAAAAAAGTAAAAAACACATTATATGTTAGTATATATATGTATATATCATTATTATATAGTAAATAATTATATATATATATCATTATATATATACAATGTATATCATTATACATATGATATATTATATATATTACACAATTTTAAACATTAAAAACACATCCTTTTCAGCTGCGATGGTTCGATGCAAAAAAAAAAGCCCTGCCTGTGCCGGTGCTTCCACGACTTCAGGTGGTTCCACATGGATCTCCGCAACCTCCTGGAGGTGGGCTACCCTTTGGCCATGATTCACCATAGGATTGGGATGAACAGCAGCCGGGTTAATGATGTTTTTCATGGGCTTTGTGGACTTTGGTTTTTCATGAAACTTTTAACCATAGGATTAAACATGATTAAACCATCTTTTAAACCAAACATCATGGGAATGATGTTTGGTTTACCCTCTGCTAATGACTAACGGTTTGCCAACTGGAAGCCATTGCCCATTTAGTTTGATGATTTAACCATTTTTAATTGTGATTTTTCATTTCAATCAAAATTGCCACAGGCTAATCAGAAAACACACGAAGACAGCTAGACATTAAGATTTTTAACTGGATAGTTCCATGTCCAATGTCAGATTCCCTGCAATATAGGCTGCTCAAGGAATATTCCCAGTTTTAGCAAGAACACATAGGACCAAACGACCCACCCAAAGTTTATCTAGTTTCGGAGAGAAAAAAAAACCTCAATATTTGGTTTTGTCTTGATGTTGTCTATGTTTTGTCCAAAAATAGTGCATGTACAGACCCCCTAACACCTATTGCCAACATGTATCATATACATCTGGCACAAAGCCCTTTGGGTATCATGTGAGACCCCCAGGCACCTTACGCCGGAGGTTCCTCACACGTCCATTGCGGCTACGTTGTTTCCTCGGTAGGGTGGCCATGCCAATCAGTGCCTGGCCATATGGAAAGGAATGACCTGAGAGCTTCTGTGAAGAGGATGTGATTTCTTGATGTTTCTTGCCCTCCCTGGGTCATATCCTCATGAGGCCAAATCCACCACTACCTCAGCCGGGGACATTGCGAAGAAGTCCACTTGATAGCAGGACCTTGGTCTAAGGGGTCAAATTCAGCCAGGAACCAAAGACAAATCCAAACAAACAAAGTATGGAACGGCCTTTTGGTTGGGTGATAAAACGCGAGCAGTGTTTGTTCTTGAAGAATTAATAATAACAGTAATAACAATAATAATCGATAATATATATATATATATTTATTTATATATATATATATGGTTGGTGGTTTCAACCCCTCTGAAAAATATGAAAGTCAGTTGGGATGCTTAGTCCCAATATATGGGAAAAATATTCCAAACCACCAGCCATATGTATATATATATAATATATATATATGTATATATACCTCTATCTCAAATAGAGCATTTGATCCCATCCTTGCAGAGTTCATCTGTGGTGCCAGCAAACTTGTCTGCATACTTAAGACGCAAACATAGGGGAATATATAGGGGAATGTCTGGAATACTTAGGGATCCCTAAATCTCGTCCCCCTAGATGTTGTCCCAATATGCTCGTCGGAATAGTGCTGAACAATACGCCCGGAGGACCGCTAAGAAAGCTGAAGGGCTGAAGGGGTCTGAGAAACAGAGTCGTGGTGGGTGTCCAAAATGGTCAACATCAAAGAACTTGAGAACCGAAACATGCGTTAAACAAATGGCACCACAAAACCGCAGGCTGGATCTCATTGATTTATGATTCACTATGGACAGGCCATAACCATCTATGGAAATGGGTCTCTCTGAAAATAACTTATCTATACCCCGAAATTACAATTTTATTGTTGAAAATGCTGATGAAATGAATTTAACATAATTTAACTGATGAATCCTCAAAAATTGAATGTGTTTTCACCCATATTTTCAGAACCATTTGGTCCCCTCCCAAACAAGGCCAATCCTCCAAGACGACCCCGGTTGGTTCCCCTTGGACAGCAGGCTCATGGGGTCCCAAAGTCAAGGGCCAACATCCCGAGGGGTCCTGCAGCGATGAAGAAATCAACTCGGAACTTTAGTTAGGGAGGTCTTATCTATCTTGGATCTTCATGTTTTTTTCCCCAAACAGATGGAAATGGAAACAAGCTGCTCCGGCTAGGGATTTTCCATGCTGCGCCGTCCGAAAAGAAGAGTTGGATTATCCAAAGAAACTCAGATGGTTAAAGTTTAAAAAGGGACTTGAGATCATTGCCTTCAGATTTGCTCATGGAAAAAAGGAAACATGCTCAAAGGAAAGGTGGTGGTTCTTCAAAATTGGAGGGAACCCTTGGAATCTACCCTTGATGGTCTCTTTTAATGGGACATTTGGAGCACGTGTCCTGTTTGAAGATCAGCTCAAGTTTCCAAATTCTGTTTGGTCGTGAATTGTTGGTTGCATGCTTGATTTTACATAAATTTGTTGGTCGCGTCACGTTGCGTCACCAGTCTTCCAAGGGTTTTTTCTTCATCTCTATGTTTGTTGCGTCACGGCTGTCAGCCTGTCATTTTGCTGCTTACACCCAGAGATCCCTCCTGCAAGTAGGCCTTCTCCAGGATCTTTGCGTCTTTGCCTTAGGGATCCCATCCAACGGTGAGCCCCGACACAAAAACGGAAGGGATTGAGGAATTGGTGAACTTGTTGAACTTCACTGAAAGTGGCATGAGCTTTGCCGCCATTTTTGAGAAACCCGAAAACTTGAGATATGTCTTAGGTTAAATTGCCACATTTGGATGTGGATGTAGATTGATCACTCCGAAAAGACCATGATTCAGCTGGAAGTGGATATTTGTTTTTTTTTTTTAAATCTGCTTCTGGAATCATTATGTTAGAACATCATTTAGGGTTATTGAGGGAAATTACTGCACCACTCTTCACCTCGCAGTAGCTGGCTCCCCCCAGCTGTGCTTAAGCTCGGTACTGTTCAGACGGTGCCATGTGGCATCTTGCCATTCCCACATCTGAAAGTACCAGCTTTGCAGCACTTTCACTGGCAACAAGCTGTGCCAACCGCAAACAGCGGCTTCACAGAACTGCTTCAGAAGCCAATACTTATAATATCCCATGAGAAGTTCCGGTTTTGATCTTCAAGATATCTGACTCATTCTGACAAGTATCAGTCTTCCCCACAATTTGCCCCCTTCAAGTCCAGCACGGAACTGTATGGAATTACATACATATATATATGTATATAAACTACTAAACAGGTTCCTCATTTCTATTGTGGTAGTTGTACCCTCTGGTAATTTAACATAGCTATTGAAAATTGCCATAGAAATAGTGGATTTACCCATTCAAAATGGTGATTTGCCATAGCTATGTGAAAGTTCACCAGAGGGTAACCCTAAAATGCCAGGTTTTGTCATAATGAATTACCCTCTGGTAAACTAACATAACTATGGAAAATCACCATTTTCAATGGGAAAATTCACTATAAATGGTGATTTTCAATAGCTACGTTAAATTACCAGAGGGTACATGAAAAATGACCATAACTTGGGGCCCCCAAACCTTCAAACGTCACGTTGCAAAGTAGCGCCCTAGTGCGACTTCCCTTGAGCCGAAGCATGGCATCGACGTTGGCACAGCCTTGGTATAGCCTTGGTATCCCTTGGTGATTTGATCCAACAGCTTAACTTACCCTCTGATAAACTAACAGTTTGCTATGGAAAATCACAATTTTTACGAAGTAAATCCATGTAAATCCACTATTTCTATGGCCATTTTCAATAGCTATGTTAGTTTACCAGAGGGTATCCTTGGTGTGAGTGATGTTAAACCCATCCAAGCTCCTAGAAAACATCTCATCATCCAAGTGCATGGCTTCCTGTTCGGAGTTCGGAACCGGGTCTAAATAAATGAAAAAACATGTTGATAAATGTTGATCATGAATCAACTGCTTGTTGTTCTTAACCCACGATTCTGAAGACACGAGGATACTTTGATGTTCTGATATAGATATATTTGTATCCACTCATCACCCCTCCAATCCAAGAAATGACTAGATTGACCATGTTGCACCATGTTCTACCACCATGTTGCACTCATGGATTGTTGGAAGCTTCCCACTCTGCCATGCGGTTCACCACGACTAGGATCAACACTGCCATGGCATTGCCAGACATACAATGGAACTCTTTAAGCTTGCCCCATGGGGGTATCTTGGAAGACTTAGCACCTCAAGTCTATGTGGTATCTAATTGAACGCCCTGATGTAGCAGTAGTAATCAGCTACTGGAGCTCCACATCATCAAGTTAACTCATGATTGTCAATGTGACCAGAATAGAATGATCGATATTTAACAATATATACTAACCTATAATATTCAACAATGATCAATATTCATCAATATTCAACAATATTCAACAATGATCAATATTCAACAACGATCAATATTCATCAATATTCAACAACGATCAATATTCATCAATATTCAACAATGATCAATAGAATGAAAAGCTATAGCTATTGAACATGGCACATTTATAGTTGATCTACCTGGAATTGACCTATTAAAAATGGTGATGTTCCAGTGCGCAAACTGCTACGGCGCCAGCTCTGCAGAGCTACGACCGCTGAGGATGTGACGACTCAGTTCCTGGTGGGGAGTTGGTGGTCAAACGTTCATGAATTTCAAGCGGGCTTATCATATGAAACTTCATGAAAATACGGAATATATATATATATATGTACTTAATAAGTACATATAAAACTATACATATATATATAATATACTATCACTATACTATATGTGTATATATATATATAAATGTGATTATATATATATATATATATCATTATAAAATGTCTTGACATCAACAACCTAGGCTTTTTGCCTGAGGTATCTTTACCCAACTCCGGAATTTCGTTGATCTGAACATGTTGGGAAAAATCCAATTTGATGCCTAGTTTTGCCCACCATTTGATGGGAATTTGGAGATACCCTCTGGTAATTTAACATAGCGATTTTTTAAATCACCATTATTAACAATATTAATAGGTAAATCATCTAGAAATGGACCATTTTCATCCATTTTCTATAGCAATGTTGAATTACCAAGAGGGTATCCTCCATTTTCAACCAGACCCCATGAGCCATGCAGGAGAGAACTCATCGTGGCTGTGAAAGTAATCCCCTACTATCGTCGGTGCCCCAGTTCGTTAGCTAAGTTGGTTCATAACTCCAATAACTATGGTTTATGGTAGATATATGATATATCTATACTTACTATGGTTTATAAACCAACTTATAACTGGGCTAGGCACAACCTTGTAAGTGCCTTATCCCATATACAATATGGATCAATATGGGTTTTACCATGTTATAACTATGGTTACTAACTCGTAATCAGTACCCTTTAAAACGTCACTTCACCCACCGCCACAAGTCTGCATCGCTGCCCTTGGTTGAAAGCGCCTTTGAAACACTAAGAAGAGAAGCATGGCCCGGGACGAGACCACGAATTTGGCAAAAATCAGCTGGGCCAACTGAAGGGATAGTTCAATTCCCAGCATGTGGAGACTTACATATCTAGTGTGCTTTATGAGTTTTATGTATTTCTTTTAAATATAATATATATATATATATACACATAGTTTTAGACATTTATAGTCTTATAGTCTGATAGATTCATATCGTATATATATATATATAATTAAATTATATATATATATTAATAATTGTGTATAGTTATGTACAATTTACACTTTGTTATTTAAGCGCTTCAATTAGATCCAGAATTACGTCTGCAAACCATTCGATTCCAGGGCTTGAATCACTCCACCTTGGACTGCAATGTCTTGTAGCTTGGTGTCATCACATCTGCCCGTGCCAAAACTCATGGGCTCCCTGGTTCATACGGAAAAAAAAACCGTCGAAGATTGCGAGTATACCATGAAATGAGTGGTCTTGCCAACATTTTCCCGACTTTGTCTCAGAGATTTCCTAATTTTCTGCAAATTGGATTGATGTGGCAGTATGATGCAATATGTATCAAGCTTGTCTGTCTCTTGTAGGAGTAATAAAGCAACGTTTGTTAGGATCCCTTTCTTCACCACTGGTTATTCATCAAACATCCGTGTCAATCTATGTCCTTTCCTGGCAATGTGCAGAGTTTTTGTTGACCTCCGAGCCGAAAGGAAGTCGAGATATTCTACAGCCGGATGGCAGTGAAAAGCTGACGCAACAAAAATGAACCAAAATATATAATTCCACCACCCTAAATATGTGTTTTTCTTAAATCCCGTACTATGGTTGATATTGGGCGGGAGAGGAGGAGCACCAGAAAATTGCAGCCAGGCTGGACTGTTGGTGGTTCCACCAATGATGCGGATAGTGACTTTTGTGCTAAACCCAATAATAACACATCCTTTTATATATATAATCTACTTTCAAAGAAATGGGTGGTAATGAACATGTGCAAACCTGGAGGTTTGTCATGCTGTTTGTGTTCGGCTTTAGCACCTTGACAATTAACACATTGTTTCTGGTGTTTTTTGAGCTACTTCCGCTTCAACATGCAAGTGACCCGTGGGGCACTTGGGCAACTCTTCCGTCAATTAAGCAAGTGGTCGATTCAACAGCTGCTCTCAAATCATTTGTTTAGTGAGTTTGTGTGAAAATGCCGAACGGCTTGAGACGGACCAGTATCCCTGCCAAACTTCAAAATTCACAGATATCAAAAGAAATTCAAAAGAATTCAAAAGATAGTTTCTGGGTGTTCCAGGTTGGGTTTCAGAAGCAAATCTGCAAAAAGCCATGTCCAATTTCAGCGCCTCCAGATCTACATCACCTGCGAACGGCGGGCTGCATGCTACAGAGTGTCCTGAAATACGGCCATCACTATGGTGACGTGGTGGTGATGTTGTTATATGTTATAATTCAGCTAGATTATAAGGATGAACTATATAAGTATTAAGGTCTTGGTGAATATTGGTGTGTCTGCAAAAAGGGTGTACTTACACATATTATATATATATATACATATACGTATAATATGTATATACGTATGATATGTATATATATATATATTTATATATTATACGTATGATATATATATATAATTATATATAATTATATATAATATTGATATATTGATATATTGATATATTGATATATTGATATATTGATATATTGATATATGCCTTCAACATCTTCAACGGCCATTTCCTTGTGGGAAAATGATGATTAACCAAGGGATTGAATCTGGTCTTCCTTTGAAAAATCAGAACCATCTTATGGCCCATACTCTAACGTTGAAGGAGCCCCCACTGTGACCAGAATATACCAGAATCCACCCCCCGCCGACCCCGAAGGTCAGTTGATTGTTTTGTTGCAGATCATTCTCGCTGCAGCCATGGCAACAAGTTCAGGTTGGGAACCCATGGCCATGTGTGGCTGCTCTGGATAATTCGACTCTCACCAGACAAATCAGGCTTTTCCGGTGGCACAAGGGTCTAAGGCCTAAGATGGTCTAAGGACAAAGGTGGCCTAAGGCCGACAACTGCGTCATAGGTCAAATATGTTCAAATGCTAATGCGATCATTTACCTATGAGGGGCTGGAACAACCATGTAAATCCTGTGAGTCCCTTACTGATTCCATGATTGAAGTGTGCCGGCGGGTGCGTCGTCTCAATTATCCAGCTGGGATGATGCTCGGATCGCATTATTCGGCTTGTCAACCTGGAGATTTCCCCACGCCCATGGACAGCTACGGAGAAGTGAGAAAAAAAACACGAAAAATACGTTAGGTGTGTCTGAAAATGGGGTATACCCACCATGCATGGCATACATCATAGTGATTCACCAGTATGGGTTTTCATGGGTTTTCCATGGTTTCCCTAAATTCCAGACCCAGAAATTTCAGGGGCTTACACTCCCGTGGGCAACTGATGGGAATTCTTACGGTCGATGTATCAAAGCCGAGGGTGACCATCCTCGAATATTTGGGTATATGGGTTATTGTAACCATTTTTTTGGATACCCTCTGGTAAACTAACATTTTACTATAGAAAATCACCATT